TCAGTATGTTCCTATCATGTACTAAAATATGTCATTATCTTCCAAGATACACCAAAAAGAGAAATCATTATCATATAGAAGTATTTACGTAGATTCTTTCTTCATATACGATTGGACCTCAAATTATCTTGGTACTAGGTTAGAAACTTTATATGGTCCATGAAGTATATTCTGTAAGCACTTGAAAATTATTTCCATTTCACCACAATAGTTATCTGTTACATAAACAAACCTCTTTTTAGTTGCAACAAAATACTGTTTATAACCTGGTGCTGCTTGGTTAACATTTGTCATTCTATATGAATATTTTTGTATAATTTCAATACTATGGCTACTTTCTTATTGCTCTACCCTTGTGGGAATATAGCAAATTCATGAAGAAAAGGTATCTATTACCAATCTCAAAATCATATGGGTATAAAGTTATGTACATCAGCTATTTTGTTTCAATCAAAAAACAGGTAATTATTCGGAAGAGCTTCCCATGGCTGACTATGATGATATTGGAATTGATGAATTTCTCTCTCTCTCTACCAACCATATATATATATAACAAATGCTGTTGAAATCCTCATCAATTTCCTCAATCTTGGCCCAAATGGCAGGGTGGGTGGGGGCATGAAAGGTACCAGAGAAAATGCAGGGCAAAATACGAGGTATTTATATAAAGCAGGTCTGCATATATCTAAACTCTCCTACATTCGTCTGCATTCGAGGCCTTTAAAGATCTTAGACAGACAGCGCTATTGAAATTTGGCACACCGGCGTATATTTCCCTTTGTTAATCACTGGCATATTTTGGCTTATAGGTATTCAGTATTTGAAAAACTGGCTTGGCCCATATCAAATATGGTCTTGGTGTACATCTCTGGCGGACAGGAATCATCGATTCCTGTATGGCACTGAACTACTCTAAATGACCATTGTTATCTGCAGTATACAGATTACTCATGAATCATAGTTTTAAAATTAGTGATTCATTTACATAGCATACTAAACCAAGCCATACCTATATCCCAGGTCTGCGATGCTTTAAAAATTCTGTACCTGACTGGCACAGTCACGGCACAGGCAAAACTGAGCACATGGTACACAAAATATCTCAGGCGCAAGGTCAACGTCAGATTCACCCTAGCCACCATCTATGTACGGCACGATAAAGTGTAGGACAGACTTTGTCTTGGTATCAGGTGCTCCCAAGCATTATGAGAATATATCATACACTAAAAAATTTAATGCAGAAGGCTACCGCACCTTAACCCTCACCCAAGACTACAAAGAATACCCCACATACAAATGGCAGGACTGAACAAATCAATCAAATATTACAATTATACCAACTCTACAGAAATTAAATACTTTATTAGCACAGGATTACAATCGTGTCTAGTCTAGGAAACCGCTAATGCTGTCGTCAGAAAATATTCATTTCCTCTTTTCATCAGCAATTTCGAATTGTTCTCCAATGATATTCCAGACTTGTGTAATGACACCAGTCTTAACAATTGTTAGAGTGCAATGGCATGCAGAATCAACTGCAAGGAACAAATAAATATACCGCATACAATAAAACGCTGATCTTTTACTTTTCATATTACTTGTTAACAACCACTCATTTACTCCGGAATATATATCTCACATGCTAAAATGAAGTTATCTCACCTTTAACAATTGTTTAGCCTTTGATGTCCTGTTGATAATGTACCTTTAAAGACGAATAGCCATATTTTGAAGACGAAATCCTTGAATCCTAGCAACCTGTTTTCGTTTACGCGGTTTGAGCGGTTAAGATACTGTGCTATCGCCTTTCTACACCGATGGATTCTGCGTTTTCTAATTTTCGTTCATCAAAGAAAATGATGCTTGTGTATGGGATACGTCGCTATACAAATTAGCCACTTCTGGAAGAATTGTAGATTTTTGCTTTTTCGATTCTGTTACAGAGATTATATTACTGAGAGCTAAGCAACCATTCTTTAAAGGCTTACAAAAGCTGAAATCATTAGTTGAATAAATAAATATGGGAAAATGAGAGCACTTATAGTGTTTACAATTAATTTCACATATATATGCACACAGCGAGTAGGGCATCTTCAGGTTTTAATTAAGTGCATCCCCTCTCGGCCTACACTACTTCAAACACCTTAATGTGAGCAGTGAGGGAGGGAACCTAAAGAGAGTTAAGGATTTTGGTTTTAATGTTTGCCACCAACTAAAAATGTTCGTTCGGCATCAGCATATGATGTCGGTAGTGCGTGGACCTGTAGTGCAAACACTGATTTTTTTTTACTTCTTAATTCTTGCGTGCTCTTCTAATTCCATTAATTTCAAGCAAAATTATTAAGCATGTAAACTTTCCCATTTTATATTTATGAAAATTTTCTGCCATGGCAACATCTAATGTCATTTACGGCGTATCCAATATATAGTAATATGGTGAGGCTTGGGCCTTGGGGGCGAAGTCCCCATAAAAGAAAGGTCATATTGCAGTCATGTGGCGAAAAGGTTAAAAATGAGTTAACGATTAGAAAAAAATATGTTAGATGTCAAAGGTTGTAGAACGCTGTAGATTACTATGGTAGTGAAAAGGGTAAAGAGGGAAGAACAAATGAAATAAGAAGGCCATTCAGGACTGACACAAAGCCAGCCTTTCATCCTTTCAGCACTTTAGAAAGTGGACAGAAGAAGCGGACAAACAAGAAAAGCAAAAGAAAGGGTGATCCTCAACATTGGGCCTCACTCCGTCTCCTACACCCCCCCCCTCCCAACCAGGAGCGGGGGGGATAGTACAATATAGTATTGAATTTTAATATTATATAATGTGTGAGAGCCAAATTTGATAGCAACTTCAATGCAATCTTTGTAAAATGGTTGTGAGATTGATAAATACTTCCTGATATTGAATCTTAGTAAAAGTTAGGTTTTTATTTCATAGTTTAGAGGGTGATCTGTGCTTTCTCTGAAATATTATACTAAGAATAAACAGGAGACAAAGGAAAGAAGAATGAAAAAGTCTTTTAAAGATCTATTTGATAGTGCTAATGGAAAGACTTCATCTTTTTATTTATTATCAATTTTAATGTTCTCATTATAGAAGAAGATTTATTTAGTCATCTTTCTTATTTCATCTTGCTACTGTCAGCTACCTGTACTGTTTTATGAAATTAATTTGCTCACAGATGGCTCCACAAGTGCTCAGCCATGAATGAGTCAAGTAGACATCACCTGATTTCCCCTTTTTTATTTTGGGATTTTTTTCTTATGTTAATAATCTTATTGTTATTGTAATGTTAGCAATACTGATAACAATAAAAAATCTCCAAGATGATGGAAAAGGGTAAACAGGGGAGATAGTAAGAGTAAATGACTCCTTGGTGTCTAAACACTTTTTGGGATAAACAAAATTACTAAATCATATCTGCAGATTAGGGATAAAATGAGAGTTCAGTGTCATTTTGTAACATTTGCATGGCATTTCCAACATTAAAAACTTATACCAATATTAATGTTATGTATTTTAAGGCATCTTTGTTACATTGTCCACAGTGTAAATATTTGGCGTACTCCGAAAGCAATACAAGTTCAGTTCAGATTAAGGCATTAGGGCTTATCTAGTCTTATTTTATTAGTCCTTGTCCAGTGATCATGTAATATGATTTCTTTTTCTATATTTCATCCCACAGCAGGGTGTTAAGCCTGTCACATATAATTTTTTATGAAAGAAAGCATTTGACTGCATTCTTCACGACGAAGCCAAATGAAATTGAGCCTGTGTATGAAATCAAATCAAATACAGGGACAACTGTAAAAGCAATTGTCAATGTATTGGGAATTTTGAATATTAGGTAACTGATGACAATGTTTAAAGTATCTGTTACATTCTTCACACTGCAAAAAATTGCTATCTTCATTTACGACTGGAGCTGAATTATACAAAAAATTCTGTCAAGTTGCTTCTTTTGACCTCATTGTGTACAGGTTTTCTTTCATGTTATAATAATTAATCTTCTTTTCAGTTTATACATATTACTGTTCTTACTATCATTTTACCCCTTAACCTGTTGATGCTATGAGTATCGATACTTGTCTTGACCACAGCGATTTTAGGTTATTAATTTTGATTACGCTTAGATAGCTCCACAACTGCTTAATCACCCTGGAGTTAATTACTAGGCCTACCTGGTCTCATCTGTTGACCTTCTGATTTTAGGGATGATTTTTACTTTTTATTTCAAGTAGTATTAGTAAAACCATTCTCATAATCATTGTCAATAATGTTCATACTGATCCTGACAATAATAATAATAGTGATGATGATGATGATGATAACATAATAAATATTGGTAATACTACTACTATTGATATCAGTATCATTAGAAAAAAAAGAGGAATCAGGTGAGGTCTGGTAGACCTACTGATGAATTCCTTTGTGACTAAGCACTTCTGGAACTGTCAATATGTAAACAATAGGTTAATAGTTCCTAACATGATACTACCCTCTTTAGCCTAACTCACAGGTCACAAAAGTTGCATCTTCAAAATACACATACAGTATTTCTTATTCACATGAACAAGTTCTAATAAGTAGGACAAGTTGCAACATTCATGTAAGGTGCTGGTCACTTTTAACAAAACTGAAGGCTCTTCCTGCAATAATGACCTGCATGAAAATTCTTTTGTTTGGTTTCAGCAAATACAGCCACGTACAGGAGTACAGAAATACGTATATGTTAAAGCAACTGTTAAAAAATTGATGACACCCAAGGAATACAAAACAAAAGTACCATTTATATGTTATTAAATACAAAGCACTAAGTAAAACGTCAATTATATCTGAACATGGTATTCTTTTTAACAGCAAATTTACAGTTTAAATGAAACCATCTTCAACGCTTTAGCATTAGTGGATTTGGACAATGGCATGTATAAGAAAACATATCTCTAAACTATTTCGTTCAAGGGATGTTTTGTAAAGGATAACATTAAAAGATTCATAAACATTATTTTAACCTATTTATTTATCCAGGAACTTACAGACTTTTACAAAAAAAAAAAAAAAAAAAATATATATATATATAATAACCATAATGAAAAGGCCGTGTACATAAATCCCTTTTCCAAAATCACTGTACTACAAGACTCAAAAATGCCAATTCAAATCATAATGGAGGAAAAGCTTAAGTACCACTTAAAAATATACACTTTCCTTTAGCTATAATCTTTATATTAAAAAAAAAAATCCTTTACTTTTCTTTAACCAGTTCATGACATTCTGTAGTTCAGTTGAAATCACCCTAAGGTTACTTGGTGAATTATCCTTATAATACTCATGGGTATCCTATATAGCATCTACTAAATGAACTGTGGACCACCTTTTTAAAATCAAAATATCAAACACTTCAGATCAACTTTCATAATCTTAGACAGAAGAGAGGATTCCCCATTCTTTCTACAGCATCAAAGTCTGAATGTACTGTGGATGCTTACTGAAGACTATATGAAGCAAACAACAGCTTTTCATAAATAACAGGTATTCTAAAAGTCTACTGAATAAGATAAATAGAAGAAAAAAGAGAAGAGAAAACAATCATAAACTCTTTAAGCTAATGCAATTGTAACCTCATAATACTGTACAGAATGAAAATTATTTGGGAAATGAATGCTATGATTTGAGACATCACATGCAAATCTTCAGTGGTACTCTTGCAATGTATTAACCTTATTGAATCTATTTACTTGAATTTGAAACACACCTGGTTGCACTAGTTGTTTTGAATGGAAATATGACAACTTTGGTGTCTATCATACTCGTAATGTAAAACAGGTAAACCATACTTATCTGCCACAGTCTTAGATTAATATGTGATAACAAGAGAACAATAAAGACTATGGAATATACTACTTTCAATATTACTGTTACAACCTTTAATTACATGAAATGTTCATCCACATATGTAGCCTCCACCAGTCTATTAATGATTGTTACAAAAGGTGAGTATTAAATAGTCAAAAGTTCCAGAGGATAAAATAATGATTCAAACCCCTACCCGACCCCACACACACTATATATTGTAGACAATAGTAAACATCTAATGGTTTGTGATTATGAATGATATCCAAATATGCATAGTAAGACTGTCTTTCATTTCCTGGTGGAAAAAGAAAGAAAGAGAAACAGAGATAATCAAAATAAAAGCCTAAAATTAATAATAATAAAAAAAGAGTCAAGCATGGCTAAATATAAATAACTAATCAGGGTGACAATGCTGACAAATCATGCATGATTCATGTGAATAAAAAGAAAACACCAACAAAAGAGGTTAAAGTGGCACAGCTGGTAAAATCATGCTCGGATAAGTGTCCGCCGTTATTGGTAGCCAGACAGCTTGTTGAAAGTCTCTAGGATTTTGGCACTTCCCTCGAAATTCAACTTGGACCCCTCGAGATTCAACCTGGAACTATAGGGAAAGTTGGAAAAGTCTAAGTGCTTTCATCAGACAATGAAGGAAAGGAAGGAGGATAGGGGTGTGAAGAAGAAAGGTGAGAGGGTAGAGAAAGAGGGACCGAAGAGAGAAATTGACTGACCATAATAATATAAAGCAAATGTAAGGAAAGACCTGTAGCAAATTAATCAGAACAGATGGACTACTCAAAAAATGTTGTATGGAAAGTCATGAAACTAAAGAAAACTTCAATTAAGAAATAAATCACTTCATCTCAACTCAAATTCAGAAAAAAAGTGAGAGAAAATGTTGAAGGAACAGGTATATGCCAAAAAGAAAAAGGATTAGGTATGTGTATAAAAAAATTACACATAGAAACAGACACCATATTAAGTAAACCAGTCAAAAGCAAGCAACCTACATGGTTACATTTATATAGTTAACCCAAAATGTTAAAATGAAGCAAAAATAATAAAAAATAGACAATACTAATATCTTGCCCAGTTCCCTCTTAAAATCAATGCCAAAGAAAGCTAAAGCTGCTCAAATTACAGATATCTTGCTGCCTATGAAGACTTAGTAAACACATGCATGAGCTATAGGCCAACAGCTATATATAGCAGAGGGGTAAAAAAAAAGAAAAAAAAAAAAAAAAAAAAAAAAAAAAAAAAAAAGGGAAACTAAAAGGGAACTAATACGCAAAAAATTCAGATACAATACTTTTCTTTTAATGAATACTCCTACAACAGGATAACACATTACCTGAAGGAGTGTTTCTTCTGATAATCACTTTATGTGGCCAAAGAAAGAGGGAATGATGCAGTTAATATCAAGCATTTGAAAATGTGAAGAAAGTGTAGCCACATAGAAAGGAGGTATGAACGAATATGAATAATTCTAGAGTGCCAGCTATATAACTGATGTCTCAACATTGCATCTTCAGAGTGGTGTAAATTTTTAAGTAATTCTGAAAAGATGTAACATCAATGTATCAGTTACATAACTTGCATTACAAAATTATCTTCATTTGTACTCCTTTCTAAATGTCACAATGCAT